GCGCTTCGTGCTAAAAACTGCAAAGCACAAAGGGAAGAGAAATTTAAATTTTTAAAAATTAAGTTTTAAATTTCAGTTACTGTGCACGTTAAAAACAATTTATAGTCTTTTCTACGCCTGTGTTTTGTTCTCACAGACACCCGGTAGCAAGTAACAAAACAACATTAAACTCCGGCAAGAAGATAAAGTCCTTTTTGCAAAATCATAGACATGTATTTACAAATCAAGTATAATGGGAACACAGAATGATCTTGGAGAGAGCTTTACCGAACTGACTGCTGTAAGTTAACCGAACGCGACCAGGGTTTAAATGCTGAACGAATGACTGACAGCCACAGCAGTGAAAAGAGTTTGTGTGAACTTTAATGTAAGGACTTAAATATTCATATGTAGCTCACATTAAGCTATCATATGGCTTCAGAAGTAACACAGAATAATTCGCACAATCGGGAAAAAAAAAAAAAATCTCGGATTTGGATCGGCCCTCTCTGACCGATACCCGATCCGAGAAAAATGGCACTATCGGAGCCGATACCCGATATGAATATCGGATCGGCGCATCCCTACCTTTACCTTGGATGTACTGTTCCTTAGAAATCTGCAGTGGCTGCTTCGGAAGAGCTTGAAAATTCTGCAGGAGGAAAGAACCAGTTATTATTCATTTGAAAGCATCTGATTCAGTCACCCTGAAAAGCACAGCACAGTGCCTCTCACATCCAATACCACAACACAAAGATTAGGTTAAATTTAGCCCTGGCTTTGACAAATATGCAGACTTTAGAGCGCTTATAAAATGCCAATTGGGGCCGCTAAAGCACGGTGGAGCGGTGTCTGTCCAATCAGAAAATGAATGAGATCGGTCTCTTACTTGGTTTTTGAATTAATTTCAAACAGTCTCTATGAAGAAATGTTAAATATGCTTTGCCCTCCATCTGTCTAGAGAGGGATGAAAGACACTAATAAGATGAAGAAAATAAAGTATTAATCTGGTAAAGTCATGAAAGCTTTTTGAACATGAGATCTGAACTATCTCCAGTCTCTGGATCTGAAACCGACCCCTGGCCTCATGCTCTTAAAGCAGAGGGCTGCTATGAGTAGTCGGTCGTAAAACCATCATTAGTCCCACTTTTCCTCTGGAGGACAGAACTAGTGTAGACAACTTTCATCTTTAAAGAACAAATTAAGCTCTCAGGATCTGAAAAGAGCTATTCAGTACTCATCGAATGTATGTGAGAGAGACAATGATGCAAAGAGAAAGAACATGCCAAAGGGAAATGATGGCATGCACAAATGTGTGTGAGAAACGAGTCTGCAGGTAAAAGGTTTGTGTCTGGTTTTGTCTGAATGAGAAGAGATTGCTGGTTGGAAGGTCAGTTCCTCTCTCCTCCCAGTGCTTCATTACAGCTGTAAATCTGCAAATGATGAGAGAGAAGAAAGATATACAGCTTCAAGGCCAGTCACACACACACACACACACACATACAGACACAAAGTGGTTCCCTCTCAGTTTAACCGTGCAGTCATGCGTGTCTTGAATTAAAAGTATTTTCATTACTGAAACATTTAAAACACTGCCTGCATAAAACATCTTCAAATATCAGTGCTGATCGATTGATCGTTTTTACATTTAATGTGAAATGTGAAGAGGAACAAAGTGCTAGATCAGCATTCTCACCCTCACATGATTGACCACCCCATGTCTACATCTCTATTAGAACTGCAGTATCTGTGATATGATCCTGTCCGAAGATCAGCATTGTGTGTAGGAACGATATGAGCTGATCTCAGGTTATTATGTGCAGTAAATCTGTTGTCTGGGTTTGATAGATGCTGGTAGTCTGGGAGAGAGGAAGAGCTTTTAATAGCAGCTGAGGCTCTCTGCTTCAGTTTGAGTAGCTCTATTGATCTACAGTAATATAATACTGACGAAAAGAGAGGTAGAGAGTCTCTGCGAGAGAGCAAGGGGGGGGGGGGGGGGGG